GTTAATCCTTTTTTAATTGTTCACAAGGCAGTTATCTATTGAAGTGATTTAAAATCACTTATGGGCCGGGCGCGGTGGCTCAAGCCTGTAATCCCAGCACTTTGGGAGGCCGAGGTGGGTGGATCACGAGGTCAAGAGATCGAGACCATCCTGGTCAACATGGTGAAACCCCGTCTCTACTAAAATTACAAAAAATTAGCTGGGCATGGTGGCGTGTGCCTGTAATCCCAGCTACTCAGGAGGCTGAGGCAGGAGAATTGCCTGAACCCGGGAGGCGGAGGTTGCGGTGAGCCGAGATCGCGCCATTGCACTCCAGCCTGGGTAACAAGAGCGAAACTCTGTCCCAAAAAAAAAAAAAAAAAGTAGTGGGCTTCCATTGTTCTTGGATCCCCCATTTTTAATTTTGTCTGTAACATATTTCTGGATTTTTGTTATTATTTAGCATTTTATAAAGTTTCCATTTGAAGTTAAATTTGATTATTCAGCAATATGTGTAACAACAACAAAAAGAGAATACCACGGCTATTAACACAGTTTATCTTATTTAATCCGTACAACCACCCTTTGAGGAGGCACCATTATCCACATTTTCAGATGAGATAACTAATCTGTAACTTGCCCATGGGTGTCCAGTTCTCTCAGTAGTAGCTGGGTTCAGGATCAGCGACTGAGCACAGGAGTGAACCACAGCACCATTACTCCCTTTGAGTTCTCCAACACCTCAAGTTGTTACCCACTTAGTCTCTGAACCTGCTGAAAAGTTCTTCTTCCTAGCTTCGTCTCTACCTTTCCCCTTCTTGCTGGACTGGCTCCTTGTCACTCAACCAGTTTCAGCTTAAACTACCTTCCTTAAGAGAGGTTTTCCCTGATCACCCAGATAAAAAGTAGGGCTCCCAGGTTAGTGTCTCTCTCAGCACTGTTTTATTTCCTTTAGAGCAGTTGCCACAATTTGGAATAACTTTGTTATTTCTTCACTGTCTTGACATTTAGCTTAGCTTCCACAACAGAGCCCCAGGTCCATCTTGCTCACCCTGGTAATCACAGGACCTAGACAGTGGTGCTTGGTACATGGAGACACCAAAATATTTGTTCAAGGCCGGACACGGTGGCTCATGCCTGTAATCCCAGCACTTTGGGAGGCCAAAGTGGGCAGATCATTTGAGGTCAGGAGTTCAAAACCAGCCTGGCAAATGTGGTGAAACCCTGTCTCCACTAAAAATACAAAAAAAAAAAAAAAAAAAAAAAACAACTAGCTGGGTGTGGTGGCATATGCCTGTAGTCCCAGTTATTCAGGAGGTTGAGGCAGGAGAATCACTTGAACCCAGAAGGCAGAGGTTGCAGTGAGCTGAAATTGTGTCACTGCACTCCAGCCTGGGTGACAGAGAGAGACTCCGTCTCAAAAAAATAAATAAAATAAAAAATTGGTTCAATGAATGACCTGGATTTGTTTACCTAGTATTTACCTGCAAACACCAGGTTTTGGGTACTGGCTAGCAGCTGAGGATACAACAGATAAGGTGTTGTATCCTCCAGTATAAGGTGTTGTCCCTGCCAGTAAGGACCTCCTAAACTAACAGAAAAGACAAAAAACAGACGGAACAATGCAGGGTGGTGGGTGTGATCAGATTAGCTTCAGCACCCGGCTGAATGCATTAGCTATGTAACCTCCAACATCTTTCCTCCATGAGTTTGTTTCCTCTATGCTGAAAATGGTAATATTACTACTACTTACGTCATAGTATTGGTGTGAGGATTAAATCATAGCCCATATAAATAAAGCACTTAGCGCAGTACCAGGCACAAAATAATCACTCAATAAATAGCAACTACTAATTTTATGATGATGATGCTATTACAACTGTATTTGAAATTATCTTTTGTCTACCTACATACCACTTGTCCAAGCCCCATATAGAATTTAAATTCCATGGAAGGGCAGAAGTCATGTTTGTCTTGTTCACCACTGTATTTCCAGGTGAAACATCTCTGGTACATGGTAAGGGTTCAACAAATACTAAGCAATTACTGAATGCCTGCGTACATGCACGGGGTGTTCTCAAACCATCTGTTAAATCGATGATGAATAGCTAAGTTTGGGGAAAGAAGAAAAGTGTTTACATTAGAAAGGAGGGACAGAAGTTTGATGATTTAGCTAAGTAGAAAAAAATTTCACTTTGAGATTGTAATTAAATCTCCATTAGCCATCCAAAGATCTGGATACAATTCCAGGGAAGAACCAACAATGCCACGTAGAAAAGACTTGAAAGAATAAAATCCAAAGCAGTTTGACCTGTGCCATCAGGCAGGGGGCTCCCAGGGACGGGCTCAATTTGGCAGCCCTATAACCTAGTACACCTATAAATATCTTAACCACTCAGAACCAACTTCTTCCTCTTTTGTAAAATGGAAATACCATACTTATGTATAAAGTGTTCTCGTAAAGCACAACAACGCTTGTATGAATACAAAGAAAGCACCTGGCTCATTGCAGCACTAGCTGCATGGAAACATTGCTATTCAAAGCGGGAGAAGCTCTTTGAATAGTCAGTAAGACCAGAAGGGGTAATGGAAGCCAGAGTGTTTTGTCAACTCAAGTGCTCTGGGTGCATAGGGCAGTTTTAACTCGTTTCCCACTCCAGGAGAAGGGACGAGAGGAATTGCTGGATGACAACACTGATCCAAGCTACTTGTGTCTAGGGTAGGGGTCAGTAGACGTTTGCTGTAACGGACCAGGCAGAAATAGTTTTGGCTTTGTAAACCAGCCTATCAAAAGCCAAGCAACGGCTGCGCAACTACTCATCTCTGCCCTCTTGGCAGGACAGCCGCCATAGACAAATACATCAACAAAGAACATGGCCGTGTTCCAATACAACTTCATTTATGGACTTGATTTCATAGAACCTTCGCAAATGACATGAACTATTCTTCCCCCTAACCATTTGAAAATGTAAACAAAGACCGAGAAGGGAAGAGAGAAGTGGGGGGATGGATTAGCCCGATGCCCGGCGAAGCGACCTGAAGGGAGGGGGAGTGAGACAGCGACAACAGGCCTTCAGACGGGCCGAGAGGGAGGTGCGTGGCGACAGCAGGCCCAGGCGGTGTCAGGCCCGGCCTGGCGCCCTGAGTGGGTCCCCGCGGCCTCTACCCTCCGCAGTCTACAGCAGAGCCTGCGCTAGCGGTGCGAGCCGCCCCTGGGGTGGCACGTCCCGGGACGAGGTGAGGCGGCTGTGACTCGGACGAGCCCCGCGGAGTTCGCCGCGCGGAAGGGTCTGTGTACACCCCTCATCTAGGGCGCACCCGGGCCTCCGCTGCAAAAAGGGTCTCCACGCGGAGTCTCAGCCCCGTTTCTATGGTTACCTGTTCAGCACCGATTCAAACTGCCGTTCTTTATTGACAGCGCCATAGAGGACACGAACACTCCTGCCCGAAGGGAACAATAAAGCTTTCGCCATTCAACAGCGCCGGAGACGCCAGAAGGCGGCCATCTTGAGGCCGGCGCGCAATGGGTATCAGCGGGAAAGGGGCCGCCCGGTTTGCCTCGCGCGCCGCGGTCACGTGTTGAGGGCGGGGCCTGCGTCACGCGCTCGCTCTCCACCAATGCTAGGATCGCGGGGCCCGCCGGTTGCTAGGCTCTTCTCTGACCTCTGACCTTGGCCACTCCCTCCTCCCCTCTCCACACTTCCTAAGGAAAGTTTTTTTTTTTTTTTTTGAGACGGAGTTTCGTTCTTGCCGCCCAGGCTGGAGTGCAAAATGGAGCGATCTCGGCTCAGTGCACCCTCCGCCTCTCAGGTTCAGGCGATTCTCCTGCCTCAGCCTCCCGAGTAGCTGGGATTACAGGCATGTGCCACCACGCCCAGCTAACTTTTTTTTTTCTTTCTATTTTTAGTAGAGACGGGGGTGTCACCATGTTGCCCAGGCTGGTCTCGAACTCCTGAGCTCAGATGATCCACCTGCCTCGGCCTCCCAGAGCGCGGAGATTACAGGTGTGAGCCACCGAGCCCAGCCCTAAGGAAAGTTCTGCTGGAGCTCTGCCATCTCTCACTGAGGTAGCTCTAGGGTTAGGATCTTGTTTCAAAGGATGGCAAAGAAGTAAACACAAAAGGCTTCATTTTTCCAAAACAACACATTTATGTGCGAGGCAGAGAGGTGATCTGAGCCGCGTCCCTGGCCGCACTTTCTGGGGGAGAGGCCTGACGCCGGTGGGGCGTGGTGGGCTGAAGGTGTCCTGGAGGCATCTTGATCCTGCGTCTGGCACCTCCCAATTTTGGGATTTAGGGGCTTAGGGGGAAGGTGGTCCTAGCTTTTCTTTTGCTCATTTTCCTTCTCAGACATTATGCGTTCCCTGTTGAAGAGTCCCGTTGCCACCCTTCCTTACACAGACATTTAAATCAGATCCAGCAGTATTAAACCGAGTCACCTCCGCTGGCCCACTGAACACAGTCACCCTGTCACTGACATGCAGCCACTTTTTCTGTCCCTGCCAGTTACACGCCCAAATCCAGCCGTCTTAGTGCAATGTCGAGCTTCCTCTGTGATTACAGCTGTTCCATCCGCAATGTCAATATTCAGTCGTTCAGAGAGCTGTCTCTGGCAGACTGACTCACCCCATCACGGTTTTACATCACAAATTCAATCTACTGGGCAGAACTGTCACTTGCATTGTTGCTGTCTCCCGGTTGATCATATTTACTGTCACCGTCTGACATGCAGCTACTGTCAATGACCATAAACTTCAAACTGTTCTGTTCAAAATGGCACTCTGTTTGCCCAGCTGTTGCCCTTTCTGTGGTTTTCACTGTCATTGTCATTCAGCCGCTTTCGCTGCCAACACAGTCAAGCCAGTATTTAACAAGCTCCTTCAGGGTACACACTTGTCCTCGTACCCTTGTGCTCAATTAGTCACTTTCACTATTATACTCCTGTCACTGTCACATTCAGGGTTGGATTTACTGTAGCTGACATTCAGTCACTTTTGTCATCACTGGAACCACGCCCACAGCTGTTGTGTCTCCTAAGCCCTCATTTCCACCAGCCTCACATTCCCTTTTAGTGGGAGCCCCCAATGTAGGGTTGCTAGATTTAGCAAACAAACACCTAGAAGGGTGCTTGGCACATAGTAGGTGCTCTAGAAATCTTTATCGAATTAATGGATTTTGCCCTTGCTCAACGGCTCACACCAGTAATCTCAGCACTTTGGGAGGCCGAGATGGCTGGATCACCTGAGGTCAGGAGTTCGAGACCAGCTTAGCCAATATGGCGACACCCCGTCTCTACTAAAAATACAAAAATTAGCCGGGCGTGGTGGCGGGCACCTGTAATCCCAGTTACTCAGGAGGCTGAGGCAGGAGAATTGCTTGAACCAGGGAGGCGGAGGTTGCAGTGATCTGAGATTGCACCACTACACTCCAGCCTGGGCAACAAGAGCAAGACTCCATCCCAAAAAAAGAAAAAAGAAAGAAATATTTATTGAATTAATGGGTTTTAAAAAACAGTATCATCGCCAATGTGCTGTATGCGAATGCAGATATGCAGATGGCTTGAAGCTCAGGAGTCTCAATAGGAATCAGTTTTCAGGCACCATCTGTCCCTCCTGTTCTACTTAACAAGACTTCAAATCCTATAAGGACTAAACAGAGCAAAAGAAGAATGGCCACCAAGCGCACTCAAGTATTGGGACAGTAGTGACAAAGAAGAGGCTTTCTATAACTTTTTTTAATTTTAAAAAAGGAATTCATGTTTATTGTAAAACATTTAGAAAACACGGAAAGGAATCTTTCCCTCAGGAAAGATTGTTCCAGACATCCCCCAACACAGCCTGCACACCCAGACACAGTGGATCAATGGCTGCAGGTTCCCCATAATTATTTACTTCGGGTTTTGCATTAATAGAAATTCTTGTGGGGCTGACTTGCCTACGGTTCATGAAGAGTGGCACAGGGTCATGAAAAGCAATGGCTCTGGCTTCTGGCTTCCCACGATATCAAAAATAAGAAGACAATGGCTAGACTTTCTAGACCTTCTAAGGGCCTCATCTCCCTATAGAGCTTCCACCGCTGCGGAGAAATAACCTGTGCTTCCCAATCACCAGAAGGACCCAAACCTCGACTTTGAGGGGGAGAGCTGAGAACTTTTCAACTTTTTTCGACTTTGGAAAAGAATGTTCCCATGCCATGACCCTGTGTAAGATGCCCAAGGTGCCTCTACTAAACTGCCAGCTGTTTCCAGAGTGACTACTAAACACCAAGAAAACTGAGGTCAATAAAACATGTTCCCTACCATACTAAGGAATAACGCACCTGGCCGGGCGCAGTGGCTCACACCTGTAACCCTAGCACTTTGGGAGGCCAAGGTGGGAGGATCATGAGGTCAGGAGTTCCAGACCAGCGTGACCAACATGGTGAAACCGTGTCTCTACTAAAAATAAATTAGCCAGGCGTGGTGCTATGGGCCTGTAAGCCCAGCTACTCAGGAGGCTGAGGCAGGAGAATCGCTTGAATCCAGAAGGCAGAGGTTGTGGCGAGCTGAGAGTGTGCCACGGCACTCTAGCCTGGGCGACAAAGCTAGACTTCGTCTCAAAATAAATAAATAACTAAATTTAAAAAAAGAAATAACCACCACAACTTCTCCTGCTACTAATAGCAATGATTAGGCCGGGCACGGTGGCTCAAGCCTGTAATCCCAGCACTTTGGGAGGCTGAGGCGGGTGGATCACGAGGTCAAGAGATCAAGACCATCCTGGTCAACAGGGTGAAACCCCGTCTCTACTAAAAATACAAAACATGGCCGGGCGCGGTGGCTCAAGCCTGTAATCCCAGCACTTTGGGAGGCCGAGGCGGGTGGATCACAAGGTCAAGAGATCGAGACCATCCTGGTCAACATAGTGAAACCCCGTCTCTACTAAAAATACAAAAAATTAGCTGGGCATGGTGGCTCGTGCCTGTAATCCCAGCTACTCAGGAGGCTGAGGCAGGAGAATTGCCTGAACCCAGGAGGCGGAGGTTGCGGTGAGCCGAGATCGCGCCATTGCACTCCAGCCTGGGTAACAAGAGCGAAACTCCGTCTCAAAAAAAAAAGACTAATAGCAATGATTTATCTCACTCTTTCTGCCAGGTATCATGCCAAGCCCTTTAACTCGATTCTCTCGTTTAATTCCTGTAATCATCCAATGAAGCAGGTAACATTTTTATCCCATTTTATACGGGAGGAAACAGACTCAGAGGGAGTAAACAATTTGCTCAGAGAAACACAGCTACTAAATAGTAGAGTTAGGGTTTAAACCTGGGAGGTCTGACTCCAGGCTCTGCACTTATTTTCAACCTGTAGTAATAACTTCTGGGTTTTACAAAATCCATGTGTTTATTATAAAGAATTCAAGGATCACAGAAAAACACAAAGGAAACAGTAAAACAAGAATCACCGTAAATCCTACCACTCAGCAGTGACCTATCGTTACAGATGAGCATTTCTCCCGACTCCAGGCATATTTATATGGGTGGATGCAGAGATCATAACGATGATAATGACAGCTTGCATGCAGTAAGCACTGTGTGCTGGACACTGTTCTAAGCGCTTTCCAGGAATTAACCCATTTGATTTATTCCAAGAGAGATAGAGAGACGTCATTTTATTAAAGTGAACTCATTTGACATATTTGGAGTTCACAACAGCCATCAACCACCCGGTGATGTTTTTCCCCAAAGCTGGTTCTTTCCTCAGTTTTGCTGCCTTCTCTCCACATTCCAATCCAATCCTATGCCCAGAGTCCTCGGGCAGCAAAAGCTGTCTTTAAATAGCACCCTCTGCACAGCTGCTGTCCGGTCAAACGTCTCTGCTGTTCCCCAAGGCAGTGCTGTTATTTGTGGAAGTGAAGTTCGCTGGAGGCTCGACAGATGCTTTTTATTTGTTCGAGTCGGTGTCTGGGCCTTGGCATTCTGTTTCCTGGCTTTCTAAGTGTTAGAATTTCACTACCTTTTCTCCAGTCCAAATGAAGCTTCGTCTTCAGCTCTTGCCCAGTGGATACCAGACAGTCTCAGATGAGGCTGCTGTTGGAATTTGCCGAATGACTCAGAAAGGTCAACCGCCTGCCTGCTGGTCCATCCCGGATGACAAACGCTGAGGAGGAGGGAGACTGCCTTGCTCCAATGGGGCTGCCCCGACCACAGTGGCACTTCTGTGGGCCTGACCTGATGAATCCCTTGCCTCGGTTGCCCCCAAGGCGAAAGGTGCTCACATTTAGAAGGATGGAATCAACACTTCCACTGAGATGGCTCACAGGCCCGGCATATTTACCTGATCCAAAACTGAAGCGACGATTTCCCACCCCATTTCTCCCCTCAGGCTTTCTAGCTCCAAGATGATAGCCCACCTGCCGTTCTCTGCCCTCTCGCCCAGCTCAGACACCTGGGAATTATCACAGACATTTCTCTCTCGAACCCTCAACTACTCACAAGTCTTGATTTCACCTCTCATACACTCTGTCCATGTCCACGGCCAAAGTCCAGATGACCCTTAATCTCT